TTTTTTATTCTTTGGATTAGTCCTGCAACTCATTTTTATGTTTTTTGTACTTTAAGGGTAATGTAACATGTTTGTATTAGAGGTACAGTACTTAACGAAATAACCCTGTATTATACATTTGTATTGAGTTGTAGCTTGAATCTAGGGGCCTGGAACGGATTAGGCATTTTCAATGTTAAATTTGCTTCTACTTAAGAAATTTTCTACTTAAGAAATGGCTGCTGGAACGGATTAATTTCGTAAGTAGAGGTTCCACTGTATTCTGTTTTGTTCATCATAAGAAAGAGAAAGCACCATCCCTAGTAATTCTGCTTGTCATTTTACGTTTCGAAGCATATAGAGTAGAAGCCCGAGATAAACTTTATTGTCTTCCTTAAACAGAAGTAGATGATGTCCCCCTGCTGCTTAAAAATTTATTTATTTATTTATTTATTTTTGGAAAGAAGAGCAGCAAGCTGAGAGAGCCCAACCGGGAGTCACCCCTTTTCTTGAGCTTGTTTGGAGGTTCTAGCAGGGGATCGCAGTTATCGTATACCCTTGACCGAAGAACGATAAACTCTTTCTATCTGGGATGTTCCTCCTCTTCCACTGAGCATGCAGCTTCAGGAGGGATGCACATGGAGTGGTGAGGAAGGGGACACCTATCTAACCAGCCAGATCAGCTGAATCAACCCTGGCGATCAATGGGAGAGTCACCCCTTTTCTGTGGTGTCATCTGGTGCAGTCTGTACCCCCCGCAATCCCCTAACAATGCCACTGGGGAGTAGTGAACGACTGGAGAAGAAAAAGTTCATATCTCTCCTTCCCAATTTGGTGCTGCTCACCATGAAAATTTATTTTTTAAAAAAGGAGCTTGTTAACACATCACACATTTAATACAGCAACTAATTTTATCCTAAAGCAGGCTTCTTATTGGGATATCTGACCATGCACTTAAAACCTCTGTGCTGAAGCATTTTCATTGAATGCCAGTTACATACTGAGGCAGTTTCAAGGTTTGATGTTTGTCATAATGCCCTAGACACCTCGGAATCAGGTTATCTGAGAAGCTCCCTTCTCCCATACAGACTACTCCTGCCTTTATTTTCTAAGATGATAGTGATGGCGTTGAGGATGACACTGCTTACCATCTTGCAGTTTAGTAGGGCTCATTTGGTTGCAGTGCAGAGGATGGTCTATTCTGTTTTGGCACCCACTATGTTAATGGTCTCCTTATTGAGATTCTTTTACTACCAGTGTTGGGAGTTTACATCATTAAGTAAAGCCTTATCTTTCTATCCAGCAGTTTTCCTGATTACTTCCCTGATTGTCAGTAATATTAGTTACTGCTGCTATGAATTATTTTTGATGTCTCTTACTGGTTTTTTATTTTTATGAAAGGCCCTAAGTAACCTAAAGGCACCAATCCCATCTTATCTTGGAAGCTAAACAGCATGGGAGATTGCCAATGAATACCAGGTACTGTAGGCTATATTTCAGAGGTAGGAACTGGCAAAACCACTTCTGAGTAAAAACCCTATGAAACTCATGGGGTCACCATAGGTCGTCAGGTGATTTGAAGGCACATATACACGTTGCTGTTGTTGTTGTGTGTCTTCAAGTCGTTCTTGACTTACGGGGATTCTATGGTAACCCTATTACAGGGTTTTTGGGGGCTGTGTGTGTGACTCGCCCAAGGTCAGCCAGTGGGTTTCTATGGCTGATCGGGGAATTGAACCCTGACCTCCAGAGTTGCAGTCTGATGCTCAAACCATTATACCACACTGTCTTTCCATACACAAACACATAGTTTTTTGTTTTTTTTAAAATCATTTTAGCTGTTAGGTTTATTATTAGTTAATAATAATTATTAGGTTTTCTTATTAGGTTTTCTTATTAGTTAAAAGACACATTTCCTCTTTAAAAGTGCCATAATGTTATTCACTGTACAGTAATGTACTGTTGTCCATACTACCAGCAGCCCTTTGGAAAAGCATCCAGTACACCGGCCTTGATCCTCAGGCCACTGCATTTGAAAATGGTAGGAAGCAGGGAAATTTGGGGAAGCTGGAGGAAGCTGGTTGAAGCAAATGAGCCAGGTGGTAATGCCATCATTGAATAAATTCTGAAAGAAGTGGAAGTCATTCACTGAGTTTTACAAAACCTGGCATTGGAAAATGGGGAGAGGAAAGATCAGAATTAGAACAGATCGCTACTTGTATTAATCTTGGGAGTTGTGTTGGCTCAGGTATTAGGAAGACTGAGGTGGCGCTTTCAGGCAGCAGATGCTAGAAGGCAAGGAATGGCAGTATGGTTCTAGGGAACAAAGATGTGTATGTCCCACGAAGCCTTCCTAGACCTTCCTATGCTGCCCTCAGGTATAGTGGAAGCAACCAGCAATGCTGCAAGATCTAGCTGCTAGTCTGATCAGTTTTTAATATATGGTGTGGTGCGTGCCATCTTGTCCTTCATCTCAGGCAGCAAAACATTTTGAACTAGCTCTAGGAGTGGTCATTGTCATTGGAGACGCAGTTGCTCAGAGGTTAAGATGCTGTCGATTGCAAAGTCAGCGGGTTGAGACCCAAGTGCTGCATGATGGGGCGACCTTCCATCACTAGTTGGTTTGTGAACCAAGCAGTTCAAAAGCATGTAAAAGTGCAAGCAGATAAATAGGTACCACTCCAGTGGGAATGTAACAGTGTTCTGTGCTGTCATGCTGGCCACATCACCACAGAATTGCCTTTGCAACGCTGGCTCTTTGGCTTAGTAAGAGATGAGCACCCTACAGTTGGACATGACTTCACAAACTTGTCAAAGGGGAAACCTTTACCTTTATATTTGCTCCTGTCTCTGAGGTAACCTACATATCCCCATAAGTCTTCTTCTGCAGCAAGAGGGGAAGAGTGTCTTACAACCAAAATCACACCTATTCTCATTTGCACTCATTTGCAGTAGTGAGGAATTGGTATGAGCTAGCTCACCCTCAGCATAGGGGAGGTTTTAAGGAAAGCCTGTTCCTATATGCTTAAAGCTATAAAACTTCCCAGCTGAGCAAGAAGCCACATGTTTTCTTTATTTGGCTTTTACAAAAATAACTTTATTGCAAAGTCCTGTTTCCTTTGTCTGCTTCCTTTGTTTACATTTGTTCAGAGAGTTTATAGAATATTATAAAATGAGGTGCCCAAATGTCAACTTTGGCTAAGTCTTAGCTCCACAGGCCTTCTGAAGTGCTGGCTATGCTTAGCACAACAACAACTCAGGGAGTGACTCCCCCCCCACCACAAAACAATTTACTGTAAAAAAAAAAAAAGTAGGAGCAATGGGTAAAGTTTGCTTCACAGTCTCTCTGTGTGTCACACTCCATGTATGAGTGTGCATGTGTGAGAGAACGAATGACATGAGCAATCATGTTGGCTCTGTATCACAGTGGGTGATCCTGTCCATATTGGGGTGTGGTCCCCATAACTAATACAGCCCTGACACTGAATGTGGTTTATCATCCCTGTAGTAAAATCTTTATCTTTAATTTAATTAACCATTTAACAGTATAAGAATGTTTGGCATTTATACTAGCAGAGTGCGAACACAGTGGCATTGAGCTTATGTCTATTAAATTTGAATAAGTACTCTGGAAACCTGTAGTTAGATAAAAATAGAACACTTATTTTTATAGCTTCAAACAATCGAGCAAAGAGAGGACAGGAGAAAAACCAGCAAAACTAGACTTGGTTGAAGAAGCCCCTAGAGCTGGCTTCTACGTGTGCAAGTTTGTTTAGGCAGCAATTGTGGAGACTCCAAGTGATACCTGCCTCTCTCTGCTGAGAGAAGCAGAAAGTGACATGTTTAAAAGGAAGAAAGTTAAATCTGATCATAGTAATCTGCATACAGAATTAGAAAAAAAGGGAAAGGAAACATCTGGAGCTATCTGCTTATTGACGTCTTAGGCCATTCTAGTTCAGGTTGTTGATTATGCTGTTGGTGTTTTAATTTCCAACAAATAAAATCATAGTTGGACAAGAAATAAAATCATAGTTATCCTAACCATCATCCTGCCATTGCATGAGAATCACTTCTACAGCACCCCTGACAACTGGTCACCCAGTCTCTTTTGAAGGAAAGTCCACCATCTTCCAAAGCTGTTTGTTCGATTGTGGAACATCTCATACCATTAAGAAGATCTCATTACCCCATAATTTGAACCAGTGGTTCAGGACTAACCTTCTGGAGTAACAGAGACCAAATTTGCACCATCATCTATGTGACAGACCTTAAAATATTTGAAGATGTTTTTCAAGAATAGTGGAAGTACCAGCATCTAACTGATTTCTCTACCCAGAATTTGAATTGACAGACACAGTGTTGGAACAGCCCAGTTTTATAGACCCTGCTAGAAAAAGAAAAATACAAAAACTTTTTTCTAGAGAACTACTGTATGCATCATCAGTAATCAACATTAATCAATACTCTTTCATACATTTTAGACATGACACCAAGAACTCCCCCTTGCGTAACTGTCAATCCAACCAATTCTATTTGTGCTGAGTGTTAGAAAACTCATCATGCCTTCTTTAGCTAGGTGTCACTTCCTCTAGTTGTACTTACTTTGCTAATGTCTGTGCAACCACTAGCAAAATTTCCAATAGTTAAATGTTGGGTGTGCCATTTTTTAGCAGAATAATGTATAGGTATTATTCTCAATTTTGTATAGCAACAGGACAACTGAAAACTCCAGAATGTGTGCAGCCCATGGACCACATGTAGCCCTCTAAGGTAAAAAGAAATTGCCCCAAAATCGCCTTTAGAGGCATTTTGAAGGCATTTTGGCACACGTTTGGTCACCCTGGATTACCTTAGGCCCAGAAGAGGCTTTTTTCTAAAACAGAGTGATTTCTGTTCACTTCCTATTGCTAAAAAAAGCCTTGCAGATGCCTAAAATGGCCTGGGAGTGGAGAGAGAACATGCCAAATATGACCCCCATGCCCATAGATTTTTTTTTTTTTTTGAGGCTGGGTACAATGGGGGAGTGCAACCCTCTAAGGCAGGGGTCGGCAACCTACGGCCCGCGGGCCGAGTCCGCCCCCTGAGGCCTTTGGACCGCCCTCCGCAGTGCACGCTGCTGCCGCGTGGCCGCCATTTTGTTTTCCAAAATGGCACCCACAACTCGTTTGTGCATGCGCACGAGTACTGCGCATGCGCAAATGAGTCATGGTCATCATTTTGGAAAACAAAATGGCAGCGGCGGCAGCCCACAGTGGTCTTCTTCGGCCCGCAGAAGACCTGGAGGCCAGCGGACAGGCCCCAGGTAAGAAAAACTTGCTGACCCCTGCTCTAAGGTTTCCAGGGGGTGGGGCTAATGTGGCCCCTTACTCCCCCCCCAAAGCCCAGCCTTGCTCTAGAAGGATCTGAATGATGCATAGGTGCAAGTGAGTCATAAAGAAGAACTTAAAGTAGCTTAATTGTGTAATGCCATTTCTCTGTTAGGGATCTGGAATGATGAAGTAGGCGACCTCCTAGAAAATCTATGAGTTCTGACCTCAGTATGTTATATATAAAACAAGAACTACAACCATAAGAAAAGAAAGGAAAGGAATTAAACTAGTGAGCTTTGCAGCCACTATGATAATTTTTTACAACATACCTTTTGCAAATATATCAGAAATGCATTAGTCGTTAATAAAAACCAAAACATTAAGAGATGAACTTAGACATAATTTTAATCGGTAGCAAAATAATTTCTTTTCTTTTAGTTAAAATTTACAGTAAATTAAAAATATCACCACTAAGTCAAAAGTAAGTTGATGGTATTATTTTTAAAAAATACAATATATTTTACAATAAAGTGCATATAAAAAGTTTTTGTTGCCCTGAATGTAAACTAGGTAACAAGCAGTCAACACTTGTGTTACATCTTTATTTTGTTTGATATATTTTTAAATAGCATTTAAGGCATATTGCAAATTATTAAATGTTACAAAGACAGCAGCCAAGAATATATTAAAATAAATCCCAGATCAAAAGCCATCACTAGCCCAAGTCAGTATCTTTTCTGCATTACGTTGTAGGTGGCATCTGTCAAAGTCCTATATCTTTGCATAGGAGGTATAAGGTCCATGTACGAGGGAGATGCGATCTGCAAGAACAAAAATGCAACAAAATATTCGTTCATAGCAACCCGAGAAAAAAATATTCTGAAAACAACATGCCATTTGTGCCTAGCAAGAACTAATAGTGTACAGGTATACCTCAATTAACAAAGTAAATGTGTTCTTGGGCCTTGCTTTAACAGAAAATTTGGTACATGGAAAGAATGAAGATAGGTTCCTAAACTTCAAAAAAGAAGAGCAGTTCAACATGTTTCTGCAAACTTTTAATCCAAAACTAACAGTATGCACATGTGAAATAAAACAACCAGGTGAGGTAAGTTTTGCATAAGTAAAAAATAGGAAAAAAAATCAAACTTCTATAGACTTCTCCTAATGAAGGCTTCTCCTAATATGTATCGACAGATGACCTTTTCTGTCCTCCACTTTTCTTATGATTCCCCTTCTGATGGCTTAATATATAAGTTTATGCTGTTTTTAACATGACTGGGAGAGCTGGTAAGGCAGTCTTATCTGCTTTCCCACTTTCTCTGTTATGTTGTTCACACATGCTCAGTAAGGGATACTGAAGGAAGTTGCTGTTTACTTTGAGTTGTAGGCAGGGATACACACCTAAAGTAGGATTGCCTACAGTAGATCTGATTCTTTCCCAGTTCAAGATTATTGTAATGTTTACTGCAGACATGCT